GACGAGCTCTTGGCAACTGTACCTTACTTATCGAATTTAGAAAAGAATTGACTATGAACTAAAGAGATCTTACCAGTAAAAACATTACAACAAAACCATTAGGTTAAAGAGAAAACTTGCAGATGAGTAAGGATGTCTTTAAACCACCTAGTCACAACAAATTTGGAGGATCAAATTTATTTTAAAGGGGGAGAGATTGTAACAACCCGGTCCGAGAGAAAAAAACTAAACCCACCTACTTCTTAGAAGCAAGAAAAGCTAAAATGACGTTGTTTTGGGAATTAGAAACTTTATTATTGTAAATGTCAATCAATTTGAATTTTAAATGTGACCCAATTAATAGTTATAAATAGAACTAAATTTTTTCATATTGTGGTATAATCGATCAACTTAAGTTTCATTTGTAATGTAGGTCCTTCTATAATAGTCGCAAACAAAATTAAATTTTTATGATGTACTAATGTCAATTAATTTATAAAGAGTTCATCATATTGTTTAAATTTTGGTATATTTTATAGTACATTTTTACTTTTTTTACTTTAACATGAATTATGTTACTTCTATAAAGATAACTTGCACTAATCATTTAATCAAACGAACTGATCTAGTATATGTTTACTTATGTTACAAACCGTATGAGCTATATTGCTTTTATCAATAAATTTGCATAATATCTCACCTATGTAATAGATTTGTTGGCCCTTTTTATTTTTCCTAAAAGCCCTCGTTAGCCTTTTCTTTCTGTTTCTTTTTGTTAAAGTTAAAGGTGATATCGACCATATATATTCTCATTATAATAGATATATACTTTTATTTTTATGTATTTTTAAATGATTAAATCTCTTCTTTCAATCTAACCTCTCAATATTTTTATTTTTTTAAGTATTCAAGTAATTTATTTTAGCTCTATTTTATTTTTGAGACCTCTCTCTCTTTTTTCATTTACTCCCAAATTTCCCGTGTTTTAAATTTATTTATTTATTGTTATATTTATTTTCAAATGACTATTTTCTTTCTAACAATTTGAAATCAACTTTAGAATGTTTAATTATAATAGTATAATTTGTGAATAAAGTAACTTTTTATGCATATACAAAATCTACATATTCAAAATATGAATATAAAATTATAAATTATAGTTACTCGGAGGATGAAAATTCAAATGGAATTTTAATTGATGTCAAGCTTAGGTTTGCTTTAATAAGTCGAATGGATTTGTTTTAATGGAAGGATAGCAATAATGATGGATTTGATTTTAGAAATTTAATGGGTTTGACTCTTTTGGGCTTGGGTTTAAAAAGTTTTGGGTTTAGTTGTAAGTGATACAATTAAATATTAAATGTATAGCACTTCACTTATAAAACAATTGTATGTTAGTAGAAGTCATCATATCTAAATGATTTCTATTTGTAGAGGATGACCTTAATGCTCTTAAGAATATGGTGTAATAGTTCGAGGTATTAACCTAGACAAATGACTAATTATTGTTATTTATGATAATTATTAAATTATTAGTAATAATTTACTTATG